TCTATCTATCTATCTATCTATCTATCTATTTTGGTCTGTTCATATCTATCTATCTATCTATCTATCTATCTATCTATCTATCTATCTATCTATCTATCTATCTTATTCAGATTTCTTTATTTCATTTTGTGTCCTTGTCTACCTATATAGCTAATATAGTGTATTTTTGTTGATTTTCAAATATGGTGTCCGCAGTTAACAATCGCATCTACCTGAGCTAGCAGTGTTTTTGTCATTTCTCTCTCTCTCTCTCTCTCTCTCTCTCTCTCTATATATATATATATATATATATATATATATATATATACATATATATATATATATATATATATATATATATATATATTAAAGAAGAGAAAACGCGCAAATGATTTTGGTTGTAAGGTAGATTGTTTTTTAAATTATATATTTTGCTTTATTTTCCATAATTATGGAAAATAAAGCATAATATATATATAAATATTTTTAAATCCACATTACAACCAAAAACGTTTGTTGTTTCTCTCTTCTTTTTAATATATACACTTTCCTCTCGTTGGAACAACTATAACCTCTACCATATATATATATATATATCTATATATCTATCTATATATATATATATATATATATATATATATATATATATATATATATATATATATATATGCCATATTATATATCTAATTTCGACATGGTTGTTTTTTTATTTTATCAACTGCAGAGTATAGTAGGGTCAGTTGGGCACAATCTCTGAGAAAAAGAGCACGATGATGCAATTCACTCCGCCAGAAATTTGGAAACAGCATACTGCAATAGGAACATTTCAGGGTGTTTTGGTATCAACCTGAAGACAGTGGAGAGGATTCGGAAATAGTTAGATGAATCTAATGGCGATTATGAATGTACGGCAGCTCTGAAAACTCACTCTGAGTGTTCTGCTAAGAAAAGAACTCCCAAATTTGCTGACATGGACGTTAGACTCAACACGGAGCACTACATCAAGTACCGTGAGGAGTTAGTGCTGCCCTTGGTCAAGTGGGTGGCTGCTGGAAGACCCTAAGTCTGGAAACGGGATCCCCACACCATGTCATACAAGCAGACAACCAAGTCATTGCTGTCAGACAATTTCTGCGACCACATCACCCCTTACATCGTGCCACCTAACTCCCCAGACTGCAACCCCCTTGATTATTATGTGTAGGGCGCAATTGGGCAAGAGACCAACAAAACTCTTTGTAACACCAAAGATGAGCCGAAGGCAAGGATCATGGCAGCAGTCACCAACTTAAACAAGGAGACCGTCCAGAAAAGTTGCAGGAGATTCCGAATTCCTCCAGATGCCGTGGTTGAAGCCAATGGTGATTTTATTGAATAAATGGACTCTTTCGTATTTCAAGATATTTTTGTTTAATTTTGGAAAATATATCCGTTAAAAGAGATGTCAGTGTTATTTTCATTTTTGCGTAATTCAGATGACAAATTATTCGTTGCACCCTTTTACACACACACACACACACACACACACACACACACACACACACATATATATATATATATATATATATATATCACACACACACATCTATCTATCTATCTATCACACACACACACAGATCTATCTATCTATCTATCTATCTATCTATCTATCTATCTATCTATCGCTGTTGATTATCGCTCTATTTTGGTCTGTTCATAGCTATCTATCTATCTATCTATCTATCTCTGTTGATAGAGCGATAAATAGTGATAGATAGATAGATAGATAGATAGATAGATAGATGTGTGTGTGTGTGTTTATATATATGTGTGTGTGTGTGCAGGGTTATCTCTATGAATCTATATATCCATCAATCAATAGATCTCAAGATGTTCATTCCAACTATCTATCTCTCTATGTATCTATCTATCTAATTGGTGTTTAAAACAGAAGCGAACTTAACTGCAAACATCAAAGTTCGGAATTTGAACTGATAGAATTCACAGAACAGAGATTTTTACCTCTTATTATTCCATTGTTCTCGTTGCCTAACGACAAAATAAAAGCTAATTTTCACTCACATCAAAATGAATAAAAAGAAAATAATGACAAGAAAAGTGTGCGAATAAAACGTAAAAAATAAATGTCTTCCTCCCCTCGGCAAGAAGATTTAATCAGGGATATAAAGAAAATGAATGAATTTAGCATTTTTATATTGTTATCGAAAATTGGCTTGATTTTCCTCTCGGTCTGTAGTGGAAATGTTTTCACAGATTCAATTATCTTATAAAAGGACAATTCTCTCGGGGTTCATGAGTTGTCTTATTCATGCACACCGTCATATTGAGGGTCATAAGAATAAAAAAAAGATTATCTTCGATCAGTCTTGTAAGTGAAGTGTTCTCGTTTTTCCTTAAAATTCACTATCTATACGTGTGTAATCTGTTCCTAACGGAACAGAATTTATTTGCTAAAAAGCCCCACTGAGATAATTATGAAAAAATGATTGTTTTGCACCAGTCCACCAAGTGGGACGATACTTGTTTCCCTAGAAACTAAACATTTGAAATCCTTTCTTTTTAACTGGTTAGAAAGCAGTGACAGAATGATTACAGATTATACCCGGCATAACCATCCAGTCTTCCTTTGCCTAACGGTTAAGGCGGCCCGCAGGAAAGACAGGATCCCGAAGTTTCCCAAGTCACATTACCGATTTCAAACACTTTTCTAATGTCTGTCTATATTTCTGAGATAAGGTATTGTAATTATTTACATTACTTACATTGCTCAGACTATTGTCCTCATCTTTATTGCCATATTCCCGACGTTTCAGACGTTCTACGCTCTGGCCTTCTTCAGGATCCGTCTATATTTCTGACATGAGGTATTGTAATTATTTACATTACTTACATTGTTCGGACTGTTGTCCTCATCTTTACTGCCATGTTCAGGACGTTTCGGCCGCTGTACACTCCGGCTTTCTTCAGGTGATTAGAATTTCGAACTGCACACTTTATCCTTGAGGACACATCGCCCGGTGGATAAAAGCGTTGGTTGGATCCAGTGACTTGACCCAAAGAGTTGTCAGTCCAATACCTGGATACTGCAGTAGGGGAACAAAAACTTGGAGAGTTGACTTAAAGAGAGATAACTGAGACATCCGGAAGAGGCATGGCATGTGGAACTAGAAAAATCTACCCCGGTGGACGAAATAAAAGGTTCAGTTCGAATAAAGCCGAAACGTACAACGGCCGAAACGTCTTTACTAGTGGTTGGAGATTATCGACATAGATTGTCTGGATAAAACGCAAGAAGATGAGGTAAAACTAGTAATAAAATAATAGTAATAATGAAGAGTGTATTAAGTCAGAGGGTTGGAATTAAAATCAGTAATAATAATGGTGTAAAATTTGTGATAAAGTAATATTAATAATTAAAAGTGTGTCAACCAAGAGTGTTGTATTAAATTAACACATGAAACGGAATAGAGCTACTAATAAAATAATATTAATAATGACTAGCTTAAAAGCCGCCCTATCGGGTGGCATTCATGATACCTCCTTCGGAGGGCTCTTAATTGGGCCTTCGGCTTGTTCAGGAGTTTGAGAGTCCCTAAGTCTTTGCATATTCTCATCATTGCAAGGTCTGTTGGCTACCGTTTTATTTAGATTTTCATCTGCAGGGGACTTTCTTATCCTCGTTGCAGCCTTGGCTCTTTTGCTTGCAATATCGTCTTTTGTTGGCAGAGATTTCTTTTTACGAGGCACACTGCTGCCGTATGCGATAGGCAACAATAAACTACAGAAGAACTTGATCGCTGCATTTAAGTATTGCATTAATATTTAAACTTACTTATTTAAAGTCCAACGATAATTCTTCTGCCGCCACTTAATTTAAAGACAATCGGATGTGCATAGGTCCTTACTTTCCGTATTATTTTTATTTCATGGGTGACTTTCACTGGATTTCGCAATTAATTTCCATTATTCCCAAATTTATTTCCAAGTTATAAAAATTGTTATCATACAAAAAATTCGTCGCAAAAAATCACGTAAAATATCGTCGAAAACAATCGCAGTAATGGAAACTTAAGAATACAAAATTTCAGGATTGCTGGTCTGGATCCAGTTCTAAATGCTTTTAAATCGTTCTCTGAGTCAGTTTGATTCTAAAATGGTAAGATATTTTCCAAAAATGTATTGCTGACAATATTTTCTTCTTCAAAAATCTATTGCTGACAATATTTTCTTTTTCAAAAATGTATTGCTGGTAATGTTTTATCCAAAAAGGTATTGCTGGCATTAAAACTTATTTCTGTATTTTCATGGTGTTTTAACATCTTTTGGGGAGTAGGGGTTAACTATTTGCGCATAGCATGGACCCTGACAGGTGCTATCACTCCGGGTCAGGATGGAATTGGGAACACCAGCAATTAAGAGGTGGATCCACGCTCCTCAAAACCTCCTGACCAAAATCCTTGCTGTCGGGTGTATTTTATCGTCATACCCAGGACGGTCTAAAGAATTACGATCGTTGAAAGCTACCAAATACAGAGAATTGGATCTAACTGTACAATAATGACGTGATCAAATACGAAAAGCATAAAACCAGTTTCCTTCAGTAAGATTCTAAATTAGAGAATTCAACTTTTAGATAGATATGCTTGCCGCGTTCTCATTTATCAAACGTAATCTCCTGACTAGCATGGGATGACTGAGTGGATTTCAATATCTCAGATCAATATACTATTTTTATTTTAAAAACATCCACTTCCATTTTTTTTACAGTGAAAACTATTTGTGTGTTTCCAATTATGTACTTTTATACAATTTCTCCTTTGCAGTAAACTGCAAAAATGAGAGTGATTGTATTTTTTTGTTTTGTTTTTAGATATCGTCTGCATTCTTGTTGATTTATTTTTAAATTCGGCCTAGACTCCGTTTGTCGTTAGACTTTTTAAATTATCTGATTTTTTCTTTTCTTATTTTCATCTGTTAAGTTCTCATTTTTTTCCTTTCCCATTTGTTATGTTGTACGAATT